CTCCATCATACGATGAATATCATTAGAGCTGGAAGTCATTCTTGCAAAATTATCCCGTTGACACTATTCCAAGAAGACTTTTCGGCTCTCTCTTATCTCTTATATAGACTCATTTAAACAAAGGAACATTTTAAGACTCAGACAGTTTTTCCCCGAAACCTGGGAGGACGTCTCGTGTACTGCGTCTATCTTAACGTCGTATTAGAGCCAAACGGCTGCAGTAGAAAGGGAGTCAAATCTCTTCTTCGAAATGAAAGTCCCCCAATAAATTTAAATAGAATTGTTTTACTACTTATCTTTCGTATTAGTCTTTCTGATCTTGCTCAAGTGTAGGGGGTATGTGTGTATGTGTGTTTCCTACTCTCGCCTAAACAAAGTGAGAGGAACATTAGGTTCGCAATTTTAATAGAATAGGATAGGTCCTGACCCTTTTTAGATGTTCTGATAATTAGAAAAGAGGGTGAGTTATGAAAGGATGTTTATTCAATTTTACTTCCGACCATAGTTCCTGGAAAATAATTATGCTTTTGACCCAAATGTTGATAATATCTGTTTGCTGAGAAATACATTTTAAGACTGAGACTATTTAGTCAAAGATAGACAAGCGGAGTCCTTTTCTCATGTCCTCATTTTGCCATCATGTCTTCTATCTAAGAAGATGTGCGAACAATTGAGAAAGTGGGCGATAAAAACAGTGCTCGAAAAAACCCTCACACTTTCTTCGGTTATGCCATCTTGTAGAGAGAAATATGCCCATTATCGAGATCCGGCTGCTACAAGATTATGTGCTCATGTGGTCGATCTTAAGTTGGTGAGACATGCCGACCTATTCGATAAGGATTGGTAGAACACAACGGTCGGAAGTTACCGAACACATGGCAGAAACTGGACATGAAATAGAATAGTCTCAAACTACGTCTGTGTTTAAAAGAAAGATATGAGAGGCTATTGAAATTAATAGATTATGGAATACGTTAACTGTGAGTAACAGTAGTAGAATGTTGAGTAGTAACTACTTATGCTTGATTGATAGATTGAAGGAGAGATAGGGCTTTGAGCAGCCATCCAAAAGAAGATGACCCAACTTGTCTGCTCAATGATGGTTCTAACTTTCCTCAGACTCGTCCAACATGTTAGATTTAGCCCATCAAACAAACCAGACGTACGGGATCCCGCAGCGCCAGTCATGCCTTTCATTAGATCATAAGCCTTAAGTACCCTAGACGGAGAGGTTAGAATAAATGGTTTCGTAACCTGACTTGCACGCTTACAAGCCCACATTTAATTATTTACCCAAAGATGGCCTTCATGATCAGAGCATGATATTAACCCCTTTTTATCACTTTGGTTTATGACCGGTGTTGCGTATAGACGTTTACACACACACACACACACACACACAGGCACACGCACCCACACATGTGCACACATACTCAGGCAAAAGTGGCAGGACCAAAGTGAAATATAATTAGCCGAACCATTGCATATCCATCGCTGCCTATTCATTTTCTTTTTTAGTTGAGCATATATAAGTAGTAAGATAGAGTCGGATATTCTTCTCGAGCAAGTATTAACTTGAGACTTTTAAAAGAATGAGCTCCCACTTTGATGATGTCCAGTATTTGAGGGACGACAGCTCAGCCCGTTTTCACCCGACACAAGGGAAGATGTCTCGTGGACTGCGTTAACCTGAACGTCTTATTAAAGCCAAATGGCTGCTGTACAACGGGAATCAGACGTCGTATTCTGGTAAGGTCGACCAACGAAGCTCTTATTCATACGAATTAAAGGTCTCTCTCGAAATGAATGTGTTTGCCGGTACATTCGAAGAACTTACTTATTTTCGTTAAAATTACTTCTCGTTCAATAGTCAGTA